GATTGCAAGCCTCGGTGTTGCTCCCGCGCCTCGCTCAGCCAGTGAGCGGGAGCCGGTCTGTATGTGGGATCCGAACCCTCGGGCGGGAGTGCCGCCGCACTTCCCAAGCGGCGCACTATCCAGTGCGCCACCAGGCCGGCCCACATTATACATTCTAAGCTCGTTCATGTTCACAATCCCACCAAACTGAAGAGGACTCACTGACTAGTCTATTTTTATTATTTGAAGCTTTGGCCAGCATATTCACATGTATTTCATAATTTTTCTCCTTCAGAGACAGTGCAGATGAAATCAATTGCAATTCAAAGAGGGTAAGGAGAAATTTGTTTTAGAATCCCAAAGTAAATCAATATATAATTACTTTAGTGGTACATAAATACAACATGATGGCAGGTTTTCGAAAAGTGGTTCTCAACGGGGGTGACTGTGTTCCCCAGAGGACATATGGCGATGTCTAGAGACATTTTTGGTTGTACCAACTGGAGGGATACGAGTGACATCTGGAGGGTAGAAGAAAGGAATGCTGCTAAAAATCCTGTAACATACAGGACAGCTCCCCCACAACAAAAAATTATCCAACCCAAAATTTCAATACTACCAAAGCTGGGAAACTGTTTTAAAGGAATCTGGAGCTGGAGACTTTTCTATAAAACATTAACACAAGATGTTTTGCTAACTGGTAGCCTGAAACTAGTAAGACAGCTAATAATTCTTCCATTCCTCAAAGGTAGTTAACTGATTTACTAAATAAGAGTATTAGGTGCTAGGTATTATTGACTGTCTAAGAAGATTACACCCATGTCCCCATCTGTACCATTCTTTCACAGTGTGACCAGGGGTATGCTCTCAGTATTTATTGCCTACAGAAAAAAAGTCATTCTCAGTAACCAACCAGCACCTGAGAGATAGAGCTAAATAAAGAATGCAGATTGCTTGGCTTCTAATCCTTCAATTCCCTGGACTCAGCTAAGAAAAGAGATATCCACCATCTATTTTAGTTTCTACTTAACATCTATTTTCTGTTCTGTTTAAACAGCTCATTTTCATAGGTCATATCTCTAAGTGTTCATGATTACTTAGTCAATTAAAATGGCATACACATTCCACTCATAAAATCAGTTTCTTTTCTTTTTTTTTTCCCCCCGACCAGTAAGGGGATAGCAACCCTAGGCACGGTGTGTTCTGCACCACGCTCAGTCAGTGAGTGCACCGGCCATCCCTATATGGGATCCGAACCCGCAGCCTCAGTGCTACCAGCGCCACACTCTCTCGAGTGAGCCACGGGCCCGGCCCCATAAAATCAGTTTCTGATGATTACTCTAAGTACAGCAAGAGAAATCACACATTCAGAGGAACTAAAGATGTCACTGATTTAAAAAGTTTGTGAGCAACATTTTGCATAAAAAGGAGTGAGATTTTTGCAGGTATTAGTCTATGAATCAACATGTACCTAATTATTTTTACAAAAAATGTGAGAGAAATAAGTGAATGAAAAGATGACCTGTCACTTTTACTTAGAAAATAAGAAAATAAGAGAGATATGCAAATATTTACCTTCAAAAACAATTTCCGTCCGAATTTAACACCATCTAGAAAATCAAGTACTATATTTTGGTAGAATAGCTTGATAAAATAATGACACTGTGCCTTCAAAACATTTAATACTAACCTGATGACATAATTCCCATGTCCAGTAGCAGCTGCCAGACTCCTATGGCCATAGATCTGCACTGGACAAAAGGACAGTGCTCTAGAAGCCAGTCAACCAGTTCTGACCCAACGCAGCTTCTCCTGGACAAAAGCAAAGCCATTTTCAGTATTTGCCAAAAAAACTTTTATTTAATATCATTCCTTTCACATGCTTGCTTTTTCAAACAAGCAACCCAAAAAATAAATGACATATACCTCTTATTCATCTTTCATTTTAAAGCTCAAACAATAGCACTTCCTTAGGTAAACTGAAGAGTCAAATTCTTTTACACTTTTTTCTTCAAGTCACCTAAAATTTAATAATATCTTCTTCTAAATGAATGATATCTCCTTCCCCCCAGTAGAAAATAATTTTCAGGAGAACAAGGACTTTGTGTAACTCACTATTAATCCCCCAAAATTACAACAGTCCATGATACACAGTAAATTCTCAAAATATATTTGTTTGCTAAATGAAGGAATGAATTTAGTAGCCCTTTATATAAAGATAATGCTTCTGCCTTGGTAAGCCACATACCTTAAGTTGGTGGTGATACACTTTGGTTCAACCATTTATAGATTTTTATCTAGTCCCTTTGAGAATAAAATAATTCCAAGAGGATTAGACAAAATTGGGGATACAGTCAGTGGTATAGAGTTTTGTTTACTACCCTTCAAACAAAGATTAAACCCTAAAATTTTTCTCAAAGAACAATAAATTTGATGGTTAATCTTTTTAATAATCTAAGCAATCTAGTTAAGCAGCCTCAATCATAAACCCATATTTGTGTTTTGGATTTCACTAACCACACACACAAAATAATCTCTAATCTATCTTACAACACACAACTATATTCAAAAAATGCCATAATCTAGGTATTACAAGCACTATCTTCTTCATGCCTCCTTTTCCATCTGTATCAGACTCAAATAAAAAACAGAAAGAAAGCTTTCTGAAATATGTTTTTTCATTTGAGGAAATTTCATTGAATTCCACTCTTCCTTATATTAAAAGGTTATCAAAATGTTTTAAAAGATTATGTGATGGCTAACATTTATTTGTATTCCTAAAATAGAAAGACATTGCCTCTTTTGCTATGTCCTGTGATTGGCAAAGTCACGGATACCCTGGAATCACATCATGACCAACAAAATGAAGAACTGCCATGAGGTGCTAACGTTTTCTGGGGTAGAGGAGAATACGGTAGTGAACTTTTCTGCTGAGGTATTTCATCAAATGTTCTAGCTTTTAATAAAGCACTTTTTTTGGTAAAGTGTCACTATTTGAAAGATACTCTAAGGCAATTAAGCCAATTTCAGACATGCTCAGTTGCAGCAGGTTAGCATTAAGACTACAGAAAGCTTAAGAGTCAACTGTATGGATGTTTTTTGAAACAAAATGAGAAAACAGATGGCAACAAAACAGGCAATTAGACCAGAGTCAATACTAACTTCTAATTCTATAGGACACCTTTCATGTAAAAAGTTCAAAATGTTAATTAACTAATTAATTCCTCAGCACCTCTGTCAATTAGATAGCATCTTCAGCCTTTGAAAGCACTTTTATCCCCACAGATTAAATACTGTACCATCTTAATTCATGTTCTCAAAACAATGTAGTGCCTTAGCCTATTCTGAGTGACTGACATCACCTGGAATACAGAAGCACGCACTAAAACACTTACTAAACAAACTGCCAAAATCACTAGATGGATATACATCTATTAAAAAAAAAAAGTGGCTAGATGGTTACATCTGCTTGTTTGTTCACAGGTGATGGGGAAGAAGTTTCTTAGGAGCTTCTCAAAATTGTGTTTAAGAGTCACCAGAAGGATCTTACGAAAGTATGGATTCTGGGTGGGACCTAAGATTCCTCATTCCTAACAGGCTCTCAGGTGATGCTGGTGATCACAAAGCCCAATCCCACAGCTCTTCCTTCTCATAGGGAAGGGCTCACTGTTTTGGGGAAGAGGGCTCTGAGTCAATATGCTAGAACAGTGTTGCCATGACAACATTAATTAATAACTGGGCCCCACCCTCATGGCAAGCTACTGTTTCAGTTACATCATCTTCCTACCCCTTCCCCTAACTTTATCAAGTTATGTTTGGAATGTCTTTCAGTGATCCATCTGCACCAGGGGAAACAACATCGAGGGTGAGGACAAATGCTATCATTAACATCACCAAAGCAAACAAAATGAGGTGAGTTGCCTCTCCATTCTACTCCGAGTCCCCTGACTTGTAACCAGGTCTGCGACAATACGATTAAAATACCTAAATCCACAGGACTTGGGGGAGAGCAGGGAGGAAGAAAACAGACACGGTTGGAAGGGAGCAATCTGAACACTGACAGCAGTTCCTACCCACAACGTATTTTCAGTCTTGTACTCAATCCAGAAACTGTTCCAAGTACATGTAGATCTAACCGCTGTTGCAGTACTAGGTAGGAACACTGTGAAATGGAGGTGATTAGCTACAAAGCCCATGTGATTGCTATAACAAGACATAAATTTTACCAATTTGTGCAGTTGAAAATTTGGTTTTTCTTGGCTTCTTTCTGTCTCCAGTTACATTTTTAGCAATTAATTCATGGCAGTGCAAGCAGTAATCTCAAATATAAATGGGGTGGTGGTATTTAGTGAGACTTATTTATGCAAAAGAAATGAAGTCTCGGCAACCAGTATAATTCTTCCTATGGTACAAAAGGAATAGAAAATATTTTGAAGTTTGGAAAGTGAATTCTCATATGGTATATGGGAAACACTTTATCTCAATATACTACTTGACAAATGAAAACGATCTGTTGTAGGCAATCATACTAGCACTTCGTCTTTAAACCCAGAACATTAACCAGTCCTTAAATTACCAAAGAAAGGTGGTCCTGTGGGCTGGCTGGTTAGCTCAGTTGGTTACAGCATGGTGCTGATAACACCAAGGTCCAGAGTTTGATCCCTGTACCAGCCAGCACCAAAAAAAAAAAAAAAATGGTGATCCTGGTCTGATCATAGCAAAACACACTCTCCCTTCCTATTCTACTCCCACTGAATCCTAAATGTATTCTAACTTGGATGATTCTTTTTCTGTGAACCTGATTAATGTAAATCTCCCAATTCCTTTTTCAATCTATATCTATGGAAACCACAATAAGGAAGAAAACTGAGAACAATGATCGCTATTACACACAGCCTTATGCAGTCACTAAAATGAACCCTATGAGTTTGCTCACAACTAGACCCAAAGACTTACACATACCATCTTAGTTTAAAAAAAGAAAAGTCAGATGTGTCTAAAATTCATACCATCATCTATTTTTTAAAAAAACAAATGAAAAACAAAAATGAGGCTTTATGTGAAGTAGTCGGAGCACCGCAGCCCCTCCTGCTCCCCGTCCTGTCTACTAGGCTTGGGCTTTATGCTAGTGGTTCTCAGACCTCGGACTATAATCCCCAGTGGGAGGCAAAGGGTGGATCTTACAGCTTTTTCAAGAGCTTCAAGAGTACATACACACAAATGCACTGTTTGTAAACAGAATAGGTAATATTTAGCCTAAGGCATATTTCGCAAAACTGATATAAATGCTAATGCAGTTAATTAAATATAAGATTTTAAGATGTTAATTTATTGTGGTTCCTCCCCACAGTTTGTTTAATTAATAACTCATGAGAATACAAATTCTGCCAAGTTTTTGATGTTAAAAAATAGTTGGTTGCAGGGAATGTTTAATGACTAGAGGAGGCATGAAGGGACTTTCTTGGATATAAAAATCCTCTATAACCTGATAATGGTTCCACAGATAATGATTACACAAGTATATAATAAACTGAAATTCATCAAGCTGTACACTCAATATTTGTGCATGTTTCTGTGTACAAATTATGCCTCAATATGAGGGAGGTCTTCTTACTCTGATAGTCTGGGAATCACTATCCCCCAAATCTAGGCTATGATGACATTTTTCCCATATGTGGCAAATGGAAAAAACAGGAATATTATAATAAGTTTATCATAAAGCTAAATTTATTTAACTTAAAAGAATATCTTTTATTCTGAGAATACTTCCTACTTTGGTATCATTTATTCTGAGTATTCTTCCTACTCATTAGGTATTACAATGCCATTTCTTGGGGTTTTTTTGTTTTATTTTTATAATTTCCTTTTGGTATTATTTGGTGTGGCTTAATATCTTTAATCAGCAAAATAAAAAAACAGATCATTCACTTTTTTTTTTCCTTCTTTAAACTGCTCCATGAAATGAAAACATGTTCTCCACACCCTCTCAGTGACCACTCTCTTGGTCACACTGTACTTTGAAATTGGCCACAAACCCACTCGTTTACTCTAATACATCTGTCCTTATTCACTACACCCAAGGCAGACATTGCCATCCCTAGGCCACCCTGCCTCTCGCCACTCCTTACTGCACCCAAGAAAGAAGTTCACTCTCACCTGGAGGTAGAGAGGGGTTCCCTCTGCCGAGGGACCTCTAAGAAGTCCTTGCAGAGCCTTGATAAGGTCCCTAAAGAGGAGACCTATATTTACTGAAGTGTCCAGGGTAGAATAACCCAGAAAAAATTATAAAATATCACATCTCAGAGAAAACAGAGCAGAAACCACACTTGTGGCTGGGAATTCCATCCTGTAACTTCAGAACCTGGAATCTAACTGTAAACAAATACAGTTAAAAGTTTAACAAAAAGAAAAATCACCACCAGTATCTCCAACAGACAGAACAAACCAACCCTCCCTACTACTGATATAGCCCACCTCTCTTTGCTGATGGTTATAATTTTAACACATGCTGCTTCTTTTTTCTCAAACAGAATTTTTGACGAGGTGTTAGAAAACTGTGTTACCTGTAAAACCCCTTGAGGTTCACTCTGTCCTTTATCAGGTCAGCTGCCTGAATGATAATAATATTCCTCAATGCTCTTCCTGCACAAGAAGAATTCTCTCCATAAATCTAAATGGAAAAGAGAAACATTCACTGTAAACGTAGAACAATAATGGGACAATTTGTGAACCACCAATAGCAAGCTGTATATTAAAAAAAAATGACCAAGTCCCTAAGTTTGAGACACATATTTAAGCCTATGCAGCTACATACCTATGTCTACCTTATTTTAGCTACTGGTCCACTTACGCTATTAAGCTTTCATAACTATTTTGCAAATGTTAAACTGCTTTGTTTAACTACAATTATACACACAGTTTTAGTCTTTTACACAGAATTTTCAGTGTAAAATATCCACTATCTTTTAAATATAGTGTTTCTATCAATATAGCAAATTGAAGAATATTTATGTATTAGCTCTGCCATATTGATAATACGTTATATATAGGTCTTAGAAGATGGGAAAATAACTTCCTTTCTAGTGAACATCTTGACCCATGATACCTCTTGACAGCAGGCTGCTCTGCCCTTAAGTTGCACTCAACTGTAGAGTTCATAGTTCAAGCACCCTGGTTTTATCTACTTCACCATACCACATGGCAGATAAAAATTTCATTTTTCTTTTTTTAATCTTCTAATTCCCACAGTATGTGTCCCTGATTCTTGGAGGATGAAGGAGGGTATTCCTTAGATCTAGAGAAGTCTAGGTCTTACTTTATAATACTGCCTCCTTCTCTAATTAGCACCTTCCTCCACAGCCTGCTTTGCTTGTGAAAAGCATTGTGCTAAGTGCAAATGAGCTGTCTTCACAAGGTAGAGGCTCACAAAAAGTAATATATATAAAGGGTGCATGCTTACATCTTTTTACTTTTTTCTTGGTGAACTCTTTCTGCATCTACAAAATATTTTGTATCTTCTCTCAAAGCAAACAAATTGATAGTACACTGGTTATTACTTGACATGTCAACCCCATCCTTACACTTCAGTTTTCCTGATATCATCTTGTAAACACAACCTGATAAGAAAGTGAGGAGGGCAGGAAATGATTTATTAACATGTTAAAACTATTTTTTTAAAAAAACAAAGCTTGTACTAACCAGATGTCATACCAAGGAAGAGGTATGACTCAGCTGACTAGTCCAGACATCATACAGTGTTCATTCACTCTCATTCAAAATGCATTTAATGAGCAGCTATCAAGTGTCAGTCTGTTCTACATGATGGGGATATAGTGGTGACCACAAGGTGGAAAAGGTCCCTGCCCTCCCTCACAAAGCTCACAGTCCCCTGTTATTCTAAAAAATGCAACTCTTTGTCAACTGATTCTTTAATACAATGCAATGAAGACATCCTCATCTTTTCTTACCAATGAGTGCACAGGGAATAGTCCACTAATAGATAACTATAATTATAAATCTCCTTTTACACAGTTTTAGTGCAAAATATGCACTACTATTTGTAAAATACAGTGCTTCTATCGATTCAGCAAATTGAAAAATATTTATATTACATATTCATTCTGCCTCATTGATAATGTGTTTGTGTAAAGGACTTGGAAAATAGAAAAATATTTTTTTCCTAGCTAATGAAGATGTTGAATCATGACACAATGATTGATCAGAGCATCTTGAACACCTTCGCTGTGTCATCCCTGGTGAAGGAGTCAGTGTGATCACTGCAGCATCCCTGCAAAACTCCATGTGGTCAGGAGCAAAGGGAACAGCTGTCACTCAAGAATTCGACACCAGAATTTGTAGGTCATTGTTACAGAAAGTGCAGTAAGAGAGAAAAGACTCATACCTGAGAAGGAGTATGTTCAAGGTATGGATTGGAAATTCTTCTCGACAGAGTCTATTTTAGAAGAAAAAAAAGGGGGGATACATTAGAACCAAACAGAAACCTTTGTAACAAAACTTATGCAACAGTGGCAAGCCCAGGAATTGTCCATGCTAAAAAATAAGCTTAAATCTCAAAATTGTGGTCCATCCGGGATTAGCTTCCTTATCTCATGCAAATGTAAGTATCTGGTCAACATTCATACCAATAGGACAGGATATTCCACATGAACAGCTCCCAACTACAGAACATAAGCAACAAAAACACAATAGAAAGAATGGGATTTTTCTGTACTTGTCACCTTATTCTTAATGTGATTTGGATTTCCTTTCTCCTCTCCTCTCCTTTCCATTCCCCTTCCCACCACCCTGACGCCTTCGTCACTACACACCTAAACTGCTGCTACAGCCCCCCCTCTGATTTCCCTGCCATCTAGTCATGGCCCCTGCAGACCATCCTGCAAACCTCAAACAAAACTCCCTAAATCACCCCTTCAACTTATAGTGGGTCCCTTATTGCTTATGTGAGTCTATCTAAGCCTCCCTTCCCCCACCCCAGGCTCACCACAGTCTGCCTCCAACAGGTTTCTAGTATTCTCTCTCTACCTCCCTACAAGACTTCTTTGATTTAACAAGATCTACTTGTCAGAAGAACCTGTGACTCATATCCCTGCCTCGGGTCACACCATTCTCCAACATTAAAAGCCCCTATCTCCCTTGATGCTTCCCTGAATCCCATGGAACTTCAAAGTCCAGGTTTGTGCAGTCACCTCCTGAGTGAAGCTCCTCCTGCTGGGGTTTGTCCCTCTTTGGACCTCTTTGTTTTTGCTGCTATTCATGTGGCAGCACCTGGGTGCTCTGCATTGCGGGCTGTGTGTGCATTTGCCCCAAGGAATAAGCTCCTCGAGGGAGTGCTGGCAGCTTATGCTTCTCTGCTTTCATGGCATCCAACACACAACCTTGCCTAAAGATGTTTATTTTTCTTTGCATTTATTTAGATATTTATATAGCTATATCAATTCAGTTAGTATTTGCTGAATGATCTGAATTGTAGGAGCTAATTTTTCCTAACAATCCAGTAAGCAGCACCATCACCCACATATGCTTAAGCACAATAGAGATTATCACTTCCCATTGCAGCACAGGAAAAAGAACAGAGAACCTAACATTTATCGAACCTACAACCTATGCTTAAAAGCTTTTTACACCTCCATTCCAAGGCTTGCTATCTTTTGAGAGGCCACTGTTTTTAGCCTGCCGCCTCCACTTCTTAGCATAATTTGCTAAATTTACAAAACATAACCTTCCAGTCTTCTCTTTCCAGCATCTGAACCTTCTACCAAACTTTAGTCTAAAAAGAGTTTCCATTCCGCCCCTTCCTCACCTCACATGGCTCCTATACTACTTATCTTCAAATTAAACTGAAATAAAATGGATCAACTTTTTTTTTTGTTTTGTTTTTTGTTTTTTTTGTTTTTTTTGAAATGGATCAACTTTTTATCTAGAACTGCCAACTGATACTCTGCTAAAGTTTGAGGCACCTTGCCTCAAAGAAAATAGATTTTACGGGCCGAGCCCGTGGCGCACTCGGGAGAGTGCGGCGCTGGGAGCACAGCAGCGCTCCCGCCGCGGGTTCGGATCCTATATAGGGATGACCGGTGCGCTCACAGCACTCACTGGCTGAGCGCGGTGTAGCCGGTCTCAAAAAGGACAAAAAAAAAAGAAAAGAAAAGAAAAAGAAAATAGATTTTATAAAGTAGACGGCCCATTTAAAATTCCCACCCTTCTGGTCTAAACACACTCCCAATTGGGCCTTCCTAGGACTCCTGCTGTGTGAGCCTATACAATTTTTCACTTGCTGAAATACAGACCAATTTAAAACTTGTACGCGTACCAGATTTATCATATGAAGATGAATCACCACGATAAATGATTTTTTTTCCCTAAACAGGGAGACTTTTAAAAATCAGTATGGCAGACCAGAACTGACCATCTTTATTACTCATCTAATTGCCTGAATCAGCTCAAAAAAAGCAAAAACTTCACATAATCTAGTTAAAGAGAAAGCTTTTAGGAAGAAATACGTTCTAAAAAACTGGACAGGGGCATTTTCACAAAAGAAAACAAACCACTTGACTCTCTTTCTCTCCACTGCCAACCTACATCTGGCCATCTCCACACTAGGGTTACACGCGCACAATTCCACTTAACAGAAACTTCCCTGTGGACAGCTTGTTTCAAAAGATTGGTAACGTGAGTAAATAAAGCAGTGGGGCTCTTCTGTACCGAATAGGTAACAGTGTCAGATAAGCTACTAGCCCACAGGGAATCGACAAGAGCAACATAATAAGAACTGTCTTTTACAGGACACAATTCCTAGATTTGTTGCCAGAAACGCCTATGAGTTCTCTCTTAACCGGTCGCAGGGGAGTTTGTTTCATTAACACTGCAGGACAGCAGTTCTCAAACTTGTTAGCTGAGCTCCAGGGAAGCCACATAGGTCTTTGTGGAATCCTGTAAAGTACTGACTCTTAAACTTAAAATATCATAACTCTGGGCTTTTGTAGAGACCACTTTATGTTAGTTTTCAGTATTGACCAAAAATAGCAAGTGCCAAATACTTAAGGAAAAAAAGAACATGGTGAATATTCCATTCACTATTTCATTTTTAACATGTACTGGGAAAAAACTGTTACTTAATCTTATCAGAGGAACACCAGGAACCAACTTACTGCCGCTCTAAATCACCTCAAGAATCACCCTCCCAGCATCTACCTGCAGGAGTACCACGAGAACACCCTTGAAAATGCAGTCCCTCATTTTAACATTCTTTCCTTAATATACAGCTACACAGCTGTTTCCATCCTGTCTTTGAGTCCCTTGGTTTTTATTTCTCCACGCGGCCTTCCAAGGCTTCCTCGCATCACTCCTGTGACAACTTACCCACCCCCCATTCACACTTAGGAAGCACCTTCTGAGCTACTTGCCAGGCACTGTGGGAGCCTCCAGAAAGAGACACAAGAGCAAGATATCATCCCTAATTTAGAACACCCATTTTCCAGAAGACACAGGATCTAAAGAACACTTTAAACCCATGAATTCTCTTTCTTGATCCTGATTTTCCTATCAATTTGCTTTACGGTGTGGGCTGACTGGTCCCTCAAGGCAGGGTGTCCTCTCTCAAGTGACTCACACCTTAAACATAATGCCCAGAGAAGGTGATGATTCCTTTTCCCCCTTTTTTAAATTTCCTAGAAATAGGTGCAATGATTCGTTCATGAAAGACATATACGTCGCATAGAGAAAAGAGTAGTAACAACGAACGAAAATAGCTTTTAATTCAAATTTATTTCTCCTCCTTTCCATTTTAATAAACCATGGAAAATGGTTCCCTAAATGATTCCAGGCAATCTCATTTTAAAAAGTATTAGAAAATTGTAATCATCTAATATTTACATATGGCCTTCCAGAAAAAAATAATGGCATAACTCAAAAGGACAACTGATTAGCAACCATATATTACCTTTTTTTTTTTTTAAATGGATGCCCACTAAAATTAAACTATAATAATCCACGAAGCGGGGTCTGAACCAAGCATGGAACTCATTCCAGAAATGCTAAAAATATCTTGAACTATGTAATAGACTTAAGGCACATTTTCAATCAGCTCTTAAAGGACATGCCTTAATATTATCCTTAGATTCAGTTCAAGTACTTAGGCTATTAGCTCCTATGGGGTGAGAGAAATGAAAGCAGAAAGACTGAATCACTCACTTCAGTCGCCACAGAAGTTTGACCTGCCTTATTACTAACATGAACCCACGAGAACTACCAAATTTATTGATGATGCAAGAATTCATTTAATGACACAACTTTCTGTCACCTTCAGCCACTGTCCCTTTTCCCATTCTGGATGATCAAGCAAAAAATGATGACAGAGTAAGGAGACTTGAATTTCTTACAAACCTAGGAAGCCAAAAAGCTTTGTACGTAACTGGTGGGCACATATGTTAGGAAATTATAGAATAAACAGTAAAGGCTCTGATCTATTAAGCTGTCCAGTAGATTTCTAAGGCTGTGGGTCCTTCTTAAGCCCCAGGATAAACTTACATCTCAACCAAAGTTTGATAAAGGTTAAAAGGACAGAGTCTTAGCCAGTTTGTAGTCTTGAGAATTACACAATCATCACAAGTTAGGTATAATGAAAACTAGAGACACGAGCCAATTGCTGAGATGGAAGGACAGGGAACCATGACTCCCTTTCTCTGAACTCTGGTTACTACTGAGGCCCACAACCATTCCTTCAGGTCTCCAAGGGACATGCCCATGACAACAGATAGTCACAGCCACAAAGACCATTTCTAGGGCCGGCCCGTGGATCACTCAGGAGGGTATGGTGCTGATAACACCAAGGCCATGGGTTCGGATCCCATATAGGAATGGCCGGTTAGCTCATTGGGTGAGCTTGGTGCTGACAACATCAAGTCACGGGTTAAGATCCCCTTACGGGTCATCTTTAAAAAAAAAAAAAAAAAAAAAAAAGACCATTTCTAATAACATTTCAACATAGCACGGCCACACCAAAGTCAATAACGTTCTCGAAATTATATTTTTCCACTGCCCTGGGATGTGTTAAGAAAGCAGAAAGAAAGGGAAGCTGACAGAAATGCTCACTGAGCACCTCCTTTGTCCTAAGCACTTTCCTATATTAGTAATTACTAATATTTCTATTTTTACATAGAAGAGGCCTGAGGGTCAGAAAAATGAGGTATTTTACTTAATGTCCCAGACCTACAAAGTTAGAGTCAGCACTGAGACAAATTTTGATTGATTCCAAAGCCACCACTATTATATTACATATTATTTTATATAATAAAATAATAGTAATTGAGTTTCTGGTATGTGCCAGAGACGATATGGAGTATCTTGCATGTATCATGCCACTGCATCCTTGAAAAACTGAGGTAGGTACTATTATTAATTCTGTTCTGCAGATGACAAAACTAGCCTTAAAGAGGTTAAGAAATTTGCTCAAGTCTGCAAACCAAGCCTACTATATACAGGTATCTTTTAACAGAAATTGATGATTTCAAAGTAACATAACAA